GTCATAGGCGGACCTAAACAGATGAGTTTTAAGGGACTTTTTGAAAATGGACGAGGTTTCACTATGACGTATATGGAAGGGGAGCTGGTTCCAGAACGTGGGCCCATGGAAGCAGAAGGAGCGTTCACCGATGGTCTTAGTTTTTGTTATGGGGACCGGCAGCGTTAGGCGTTATGCATGCGGACCGGTGAAGGTCCACGGACCGCAATTTGTGGACAAATGCCCTAAGGGATCGCGACCCCAAAGGCTGAGAACCTCTGTTATAGGCGATCAACTGGCTCGTCCATTCTTTTTTTTTTTTTTTTTTTTTTTTTTTTTTTAAATTCAAAATAATTCAATACATATATACATATACAGAGTAAAACTAAAATAATGACAGGCAATTTTTTTGAAGTTTGAACTAAACAAAATGTTGACATTATAATAGAGTGTACTAAATTAAACATTTGTGTAAATTACTAATTTTTTTAACTTGATGTCTAAATGAGTTGGAATGATAAACTATGAATGTATTATTTGTCATAATATTTCTCAACATATGTTTTGAATTATGTTTTGTATTTTAAATCTAAAAAGTGTTTCTAATGTAATGTCTGTGTAGTTATGTTTGTGGAAAAAAGCCTTAAGTCTGTGGTGCCATACATGTTTTCTGTATTGTGAAAGTAATATCAGACTTATTGTGTGTTGTTTCTTGTTTATTGATGCTGGTATTGTGTTTAATGTTATAGCTCTGCCTATATCTACAGGGTGAACTGTACCTGCTTGTATGATTTGTTTAAGTGTAGATTTAGTCTGCAATATTGTGTTGCACGTCAGATATAAATGTTGTTCTGTCTCATCAGCCCCCGTCCTAATTCATAATTCCGGTACTTTTAAAACATTAATTTGAGGCCTAAATTGAAAAATGACGTAAAGACTGTTGTGACCATTTTACATTCGGCTTGTGGATGACTTCGTTGTTTTGCGTCACAATTTTCTAATAGAAAATGTTAAAGAATAAAATCTTAGTTTAGTTATAAAAATTGTATGCATGTTTTGATTTTTTAAGGTGTGACGTGACACTAAGGGGAGGGGAAGGGTAAAGGATTTGTGACACTTTGTGGCAGGGGGGAGGGGGGTATAAAAATATCATTTTTTTGCGTGACGTAATTTGCGAACGACTCCTTATTCTTATCACAAGTTACATAAACAAAGCTGTTAAAAGAAAGACAAAATCAGCTCCATCTATGCTCAGTTCACAAGATCAAATTTTCGCCAAATTTCTTTTTGAACACACTTTTTAGTCAAACAAAATAGTGCGTTCAAAAAAAACAAAACAAAAATTGACGCAAATTTGATCGTGTGAACTGAGCATTAGCTTCAGTTCACACGATCAAATTCCTTTCAAATTTAGGTCAAATTTTTGTATGAGCGCAATATTTTGTGTGTCATTTCTTCTTTTTTTTTTTTTTTTTTTTTTTTTTTTTTTTTTTTTTTTTTTTTTTTTTGTGTGTGTGACAAAAATGAGAATTTGATCAAAGAGTAATTTGATAGGTGTGACAAGGCTTCATACAAAAATCGCATCAAATGTATGAACGAAAATTTGAAAGGAATTTGATCGTGTGAACTGAGTCTTTGGCCCTACAGCAAGAAAACTCTGCAACAGTATAATTTAACGATGGTTAACTGTAAATTTCTCTTTGTAACTTCCACCTACAGCAATGACTGACAAGAGAGTTTTTAAAAACATGTTTAGTCTATTAAAACCAGATAATGTGATGGCCCATCGGATGAGAGAAACAAACTGCTAACCGAATGGCCAAGTTGTGGAATGAAAAATTCAACTACCGCCAACCACTCAGGCTCAACCTAATGCCCGAGACATACGTTTCAATCCGCTGTTTCACTTACCCCAACGGACCAAACTCTAGGCCTAAACGTGAACCGGGGCAGTCTTTCAGTTCCCACAAATTACAGCTGCAGGTCGGCTAAGGATTGGATGGTCACTTTTTTTAACAAGGCCACAGAAGAAGTGCTCTCGTAAATAGTACTTGTATGATACGCTCCGCTTGCCTGCTAATGTTTAATTAATCATGTGAATGATACAAATTATGCAAGAACTTAGTCTGACAAACAAACATGCATCTTCTGATGTATCAACATCTCATTGGCCCCCACCCCACACCCACCCCCATAAGCCAACCGCTATCTCGTTGCGCGTCCCCACTTCTGTCTGCCCACCGTTACCCCTTGCCTCCCCCCCCCCCACCGACTATCCCTTTTTTTTTCGCAAACCCGTTCGACATGGCGGAGACCTATGACCGCTCGTCTCTCTGTCGCGTGACCATTTGACATTTCCCATCGTTAACCTGTTGACGAGGCAACTTTCATTGACTGCTAGGCCTTATTCCTTAATTAAGATGAAAGTAACAACAGACTAATAATAACTTGCACGGTGTCAGACGAAAATGAGACCGTTATGATTTTCACAGTGGTTGAAGGAAAAGAGCGAAATGAATAACCCGAACATATCTGGATTGAATGGAAGTAATTAAAGAACGTGCTACAATTATTTGCCCATTGTTGAAACGATAGTTTGAAAGGTAGCACTTTCATGTTGACGTGTTGAACTGATAGACTGTCAAACACATGAGGCAGATTACCCCGGTCTAAGAAGCCGGATGACGTTAAGAATTATGCAAGCAGCCCACCTTGATCATGGAGACCGTCAGTTATAATCAATAAACGGCAATTTTGCTCTGTCTTAACAGTGAACATATTTTTTTACCTGTCTTTGTATATTTTAAATTATGTGTTGGCATTTATTATAATTGTCTTTCGCATGCTGAGTTGATGAAGGCGTTACTTGAGCTGAGTGGTAGGCTTTTATATTGTTTCCAGCAAAAAGAGTTGCGCTATTAATCAGCTTCGCTCTCTCGTTCTTTCCTATTTTAATCCCCTGGCAAGACATGGTCAAGACGACTGGAAGTAGACCAAGATGGAGTGGATGACCAGAGTTGTTTTTTTGTGTCTCACTGTGCTTTTTTCATCTTCTTCCATGGGCCCAAAAACCTTTAAAATCCTTTAATTTAAAATTTACAAAATCACATCTAAGCGAAATATTATTGTAAAAAAACAAAACAAATTAAATTTAAAATATATTTAATTTTTTTAATGACGACACAATCTCAACTTTTTTTTTATGTGCGATAATTTTTTGCCCACATATTGAGGGGTGGCATTTGCGACCAACTGAAGAGTTCTTTAATCGTTGAAGTGGGCGGCGCAAAGCTGGGCACACACCCCGGGTGGCACTAACTCCCGACTCTTAGCTTCGCCACTGCCTGTCGGCGGTATGACATTAAAACAATGAAAATTCCGTCAAGTCCTGCGACGTGAAACGCATAAAAAATCAGAGACAAAGGTTTTCAGAAAACGAAGATTACAGCCAATAAACTTGCATAAGCTATTGATGTTTAAATAGGTGTTTTTTTTTTCAACCCAAATAAGAGTTTGTCGCAAGAAGAGTCAGTTCAATCATGAAGATGAAGAAACTGCACCATCTGGGGCGCCGACGCCGAAGAAAGCCTCTAATTAAGAACGCTTATTAATTTTGGGAGCGTAATGGGAACTATTGACTTCATCCTATACACCCAGGCTTTTGCACGGCTTTGATGGGTCTGCAATCCTGCGTCCCATACAAAACCTAGCTCTCATGCTTGTG